AACCTACATAACATTTGATATGCTTTGTTGATTTTTTATAGGCCTCTGAAGGCCTATGACTAGGCCGAGATAACACGAACACATAGAATGAATTTATTAGTGTTGCTTTGCAAGGGTTTGTCAGGCAGTTATAATATTGACAATAATCAAAGAAATTTCGGAGATGTTTCCCTTTGGCACTTCATTCTAGTAGCTATATTCAATCTCAGTCCTCATGTTCAGACCTTGATTCATGAAACCAGCACATCCGCATTGCTTCAGATTTGTTTCAAATAAATTGTTTGCTCTGTTGATAACATTGTAGGGCACCTTGTGTGTCTGATTAAGGCCACGAGATAAATGGTTCATCCTTTTACTTAACCTAACAGTGATTTCCAGAGTAAATTAACCCAGAACTCTGAGATTACAAAGAGTAATGGAGAAGTGAATATGGGTGGGCATGGATGGCATTGTTATAATTAGAACATTATAAATCATAGACTTGATCCTCAAATCATAAAAGAGACAACTGGGGTTAAGTTGAAGTGATCATACCATTCCTACTCATGTCAAAGTCTACAAGAGAGCATTCGGCCACATTTCAATCAAGCTTATTAAATTGGCCCAGTCTCGATTCATTTTTTATTAGTTTATCAGAATGTAAAATACAAAGGAAAATGAAACTAATGAGAAAATAGGGGAGCAAAAAGAGAAGAGGAGAAAGTGTAGGATAAGAAAAGAGGGAGGGGGGAAAGCATTGACTCTGACTCTTTTTAGCACAGTAGAAAATAATAACATTACAGCCTCAACTTTTTCTTTTACACAGTAATATATACTAGCCATTTCTAAAACAACAAACCCATCTATATGAGTATGGCTGAAAATCATCCTGATTTTCAGATTTATGCTATCCGGATAGGGACTCCTAAGTGCAGGCAGAAACACTTGATAAGTGCAGCAGCAGCAACACTTTAAGAGCACAGAGTGTTTTGCTCCCAGTCCTATTCCTGGTTGGCTTTTCTTCGGCCAACTTTAATATCCAATAGCAAGGGATGCATATAATGCAATGTAACGCCAAGATCAAGGATCAAGAATGACATGTAGAGGTACTTCTGAATAGTTTATTGTTGTTCACCTATAGACAGAAATCTTGCCAGAGTAAAGCAACTAGTTGCAAAGCTATTGGTATACTCTGTAAACTGCTAGGAAAGGGCCGTCTTTGCCTTCTTCCTGTCTACCAAACATTCCAAGCTTTGCTGCCTCTTTGGAGTCCTTCTGGGACTCCAGACTACATTCCGCCACAGATAACTACATTCTATTTCACCTTTATTCTGAACCCACCTTCTGTTTTCTGAAAAAAAGGGAGGGGAGTGTCTAACTGATATGATTTTTTTTTTGTAAAACAGAGAACAATATTAGTAATGCTCTCCCCCCTCCCCCCAAGGTTGGCTTCCTGGTTGAAATTCAAGTTATAAATTCAACCAGAGGCAAGTGAAGAAATGATGCTATTTACAGTCTTCAGAAACTGAAATATTGAGACCTAACTCAGTTTTGTGGACAGTAAAAGCAACACTGGCTGATAACTGCCCTTAGGGTATTCTTTAGATATTTTTATAGCTGATGTCCTCTGAAAGCAGTGCTTTTTTTCTAAAAAAAAAAAAAAAAAAAGTGCTGGAACTCACACACATCATAGAACCCGCCTTGCCTACCCTATAAGGTTTCATCCAAAAAAGGTGCCGGAACTCCATTCTGGGCGTTCTATGAGAAAAAAAGCCCTGTCTGAAAGTAATGTGTAATGTGTAGAGTGTAGAGAGAAGACTGATGGGAGAGGGAAGATCTATTGTCAAGACAATGAATTAGACCAAAGTGGAGGGGGGGATTATGAAAATGCCTCAAATAGCTACCCTCCCAATTCACATGCATATAATAGAGGGAGATGCAGAAGCACAATTACAGCATTCTGGTAATGTATCCAATCTAAATAAAAATAGTTTTTAGACTTTCATGGAGTCTATTTCTTGTTTTTTTCTGCCCCACAAGGCTGACAAAGCAGGATAAAAAGGTGATAGATTGATACATATGTAAATGTGTAAATCCATCCAAGTGATGCCATTGCACTTTTCAGAAAGCATGTTGAAAGCTTTTGTGAACAGTGTTACGCTGAACATTGCTCTGCAGGTCAAAAGCCTCTCAGGCAGCAGCTCTGGGAAAAACCCCAATGGGGATCCCCAGGAATTGGGACCAGCCTTGAGTGAATGAGAACAGAAAAAAAAGAAAAGACTGAACAGTCATAGCAGACCCCAAACTATGATCTCCCTCATGTATTCACTGAAATTTCAATCTGACTAGGGGGTCTGTTTAACACAAAGCAGGTTAAGAGAACTTGAGGGATAGATGTGCACTGGGAAAATGGCACAGGAGGGAAGGATTAAGATTCTGAAGGTTTAAGATTCTTTGTTTTTAGGGCAATATCTCTCAATTCTCAAAGCGGATCCATATAGTTGTTACTCAGAGAAACTAAAATTTCAGGGAAAGCTCATTAAGGAACTCTCTGAGGATATGACCACTCTCAGAACTTCAGGCTTCCTTCTGATCTGCTTCCTAAATTTAAGCAAGTTGCTCTGAAGAAGTCTTTCAAGGGCAGAACAGAGGCCTGACTCATTCATAACCATAGTAGGAAAGACAATAGTGCCAGAAGAAGTGGGGGGGGGGAAATCTTCAAGTGAAGATGTAGTAACTCTGATTGGCAGCTAGACCCCAAAGCAACTGTTTTAATTTCCAGGCAGGGTGTTGTATGCACATGCAGGAAGCCCCGGCTTGCAAAATGAAGACGTTCGTCTGTGAGATTTTTTTTCTCCAATTTTCCTTGCTCCAATACAATTGTCTTTTCTTTTTATATCTTGCGTGCGTCGTTGCTGGCGTTGCCTTTGTAGTGGTGCAGCCTCGTCTTTCCTACAGGAGCAATGTTGCCAGGGAGAGGCACCCGGCACCTTATGGTAATTAAAACCTTTATAGAGCATGCATATTTTAATTATGACTTGTTTTAATGTTGAAAGTATTGACTCAGGCTGCCCACATGAGACACAGCCACACATTCCATCCGGGCCAGCAATGACGGCCAGTGCATTCCTCAAGAGTCCCAAATATTAAACAGACATGCACTCGTGTTGAGCCCTGTCTGGTCTAAATATATATAAACCAGGAAGTATAATGGGGCGGGTGGGGGGTGTCAGAGAGGTGGGAATCAACTTCCATATGTTGGAAAGTTAACCCAAAGCTTTAGATTAAGTGGCAAAACAGTGGCTGCAACAGAGAGAAAAACATCTGATGGTTGTAGACTTTGACTAGAAAATAATATGCCTTTGTTAAGGGACAAACAGGAATAGGTTTTTCACTAGCATGGCCTTCAGTTCTGTTACTCAGAGGGATTCAAATGCTCTCAAGTTTCAGCCTGCACAAAGGCAACTTTCTAAGCTCTGCAGAGTTTTCATCAGTGGCAAGGATGTTCAAAAAAACCCAGAAATGCCCTAGAGAAAACAAAAGGTATAGACAGGGTGGAAATATCTCAGCTTGAAAAGTAACCTGATAGGGGCAAACCTAGACGAAATAATAGCAAGATTTCAAAGAATGGAAAAGTTCCCTGCCTCTGCCATAATCCATTCCTCTCTTTCATAGGTTACTGTTGGATAATGCCACTCAGAGTCAATAGTGGTCGGGTATCTGCAGGGTATGGTTAAAAAAAATCAAGACGGTAACTACAATGATATAATTATTCATTCCTTCATCTCAGCTGACACCTTGGTTTTATTTTATTTTTTTACCAAATCCCCTGGACATCCCAGACTCCAAAAATTCTCCATGGAGAATGGACAAATGAACCCAATGGCCAATTATAATTTCTTTCCACCGTACATCTTTGTTCGGTCGTCTTCTGACCATTTCTATAAACCAGGAAAGGCAAAGGCCAAGCAAACCTATTTGCAACCTCACCTAATTTCACACTGGCCCTTCTTATGAAATCAAGTGATGTCTTCATCAGCTGCTGATAGAAAATTAAGTGAGAGGTGTTGCTTGCACCACCCCTTTGCTGGCATGGAAGAGTTTTAGCTGCTGTGTTCAAAAGAATTCTGCACCCTACTTAAATTGTATTTATAGGGATATAGCTGCAGTATACATTATAACAAACATTTCGGTACCACAGGTAGTCTTCGACTTATGACCACAGCTGAGCCCAAAATTTCCATTGCTAAGCAAGACAGTTGTTAAGTGATTTTTGCCCCATTTATGACCTTTTTTGCCACAGTTGTTAAGTGAATCACTGCAATTGTTCAGTTAGTAACATGGTTGTTAAGTGAATTGGGCTTCCCCATTGACTTTGCTTGTCAGAAGGTCAGACACCGCAACTTTCACCTATATGAACCAGTTGCCAAGCATCTGAATTTTGATCACCTGACCGTGGGGATGCTGCAATGGTTTAAGTGTGAAAACCGGTCGTAAGTCACTATTTCCAATGCCGTTGTAACTTTGAATGGTCACTAAATGAATTGTTGTAAATCGAGGACTACCCGTAGCCAGAGTATACATTATAATGAACATTTCAAAACTACCAGATAATTGAAAAACATTGTGTGGTGCTTAGGAATCCCTCTTATTACTAACCATTTCTCCTGATGTATAGGCAGTCCCATTCAATGCACAATTCTCCTTAATAGCCCCTTATTGCTCTGGAAATTTCCACTCAAACTTAGGGTAAACAAAGGAACAGAAGACTGACAAAAAAAGACAGGGTTTGGGTTTTTTTCCCCCTAAATAAATGTCTTTGTCTCTTAGCAACAATTCAATGGGCAATACCAAACTAGCCTTGACTGCAAATATTTGTATTCTGAATGTATTTTTTAAAAAATCTTCCTCCTTCTTGCTGTTGTTGCAATCCTAGCCTGAATGTCTCCTGTGACTTCTGTGCAAGTTTCAGCACACATCTGATGGGGTGGGCATAGCAGCAAGCAAATGGACTGCTTGTCACCTGATTCTTGAGATGCCAGCAACGAGCTAAGCAGATTCCTGGAATGAGAATGCTGCTCCAAATTGGGGTAAATGTTTAACTGGGATTTGTGAATGCTGTGGCTTTCGAACTGGTTTATTCTTAACCCAGTCTCCGCTTTCTTTATGGTCACTTTCATGATTGCGGGCATGAAGGAGTGAAGGAAGCACAGTAAGTAGCTCTATATTCCATGTTGTTGAGACTATTACATCTATAAATTGGATGGAAGACCAATGTGTTTTTCTTTTTCTGTTGATATTCTGTATAAAAACAGAGACACAACTAGGGGATCAATTGAGTGTTAACATTATCCCGGGAGTAAGAAGAAGATAAATGGCTTAGCCGAAAAGAAATACAGAAGGAGAACTCACAGTTGCCTGACAGTAAAACCTGAAGTTATTATTTAGCTTTCTTAGCCTCTGTAGTTTTAGCCAATTGGGCCCTATGTACAAAAGCAGTTATAGGTTCAGAGTGTGTGGGGAAGAAAGAGAGTAGCCCTGAAAAACCTGATTGTAAAGAATGTGTTTCGCCCCTCGAAATCAGTATTCTCAGACTGCCTCATCTGAGAACTATTGGTATATGAAAGCCACATGAGTTTTAAAAGATTCATAATCAGGAGCACACAGGAAATCTAATCTAATAAAAGAGAAGCAATCACATTGAATTTGATTTGATGCTAAAACAGGAGTTTTGAGTGAAGGAAGGAGGGAGGGAGGGAGGGAGGGATCTTAATGGCACCCTAACATTTTCCATATGTGTTCCTCTATAGGTATTTTTCTAAGGACGAAAAATGTTCCATTGCTCGTGAACTCTCTCATTCTTTCTTTGGTTGGGTCGAATAATAAATACAGCCCCTCCAGGAAAGACTCTAGAGAAACATTCTCCCCAGGGTTATGCTTATTTGGAGAATAAGGAGGAGGATATCTGAGGAGAAATGGCCCCAGAAGATAGGTATTCACAAAGAGGTCAAGGTAAAGGTCAATGATGATTAAGAACGCTGAAGGAAAACTCCACCAGTAGCAATAATGGTTAGTAATACAGTAGAATTAATATGGAATTACAGTAAATAAGAATTGCTAGAAAATTCTTCATCTATTATATGAATAGTGTCTTTGTGTATAGTGCCATTGCGTTGTATCTTTGCTCTGACATGATACTACTGCATGCTTTCCGTAGCAGTATTTTTATTTGAGTAATACTGTGAAGCACATAAGTATGTTCTATTTTCATTTGGAGAGGCTGACCCACAGGTTCTGTTCAATTATATGACTTAGTCATAGGGTGACTTTTCAAGCACAAATGGCAAATAATTACTGAGAACAACATTTATAGAGCTTGTACTCTTCAAGCAAAGGTTGATCTAAAGCTTTCAGCAGTTTTTCCTCCTGGTTGGGCCTGCTGGGAGTTGTAGTTCAGCAACAACTAGAAAGCCCACAGCTTTTTCGGTATTGCATTAAAATATATTTTCAGGGATCTCCTTCATAACATGTTCAGAATGATGACCCTTCCCCGGGCAAAGTACATTAGAGCAGTGTCTGAGAATTTTCAGAATTTTCAGAATTTACCTATCTTGATCCAAAGAATGGCCAAGCTGAAGAAGTTTCTTGGATGAGAAGCAAAACGTCTTCAAGGAAAAACAAAGAAAGTCCAGTTGCTTTATGAAAAAGCACCTTCGGGGCAACCATGTCCTGGATGACTGAGAATCTCCATAGACATTCTATCCTATCTTGACTTTTTGATTTCCTACCTTCTATAGAAGTCTTTCTGCAGTTACTTGCTTATCTAGGAATTCTAACAAGTCTGCTTCAAAATATCTGAGTACTTTTTAAGCTTCTTGGTTTTCTTTCACTGTGCATGCTGAGTTCTTATAGCCTACTTTGTTGGGCTTCATCATTGCCAGAACCCACAGACCATGTTCCTCATGTTGCACATTGCTGAACTAGTCAACTTCAATGGAGGAGGAGCTAGGCATGGCATGCTGCCAATTACATCATCATTTGCGGCAGATGATGATGTAATCTCTTGTGCACCATGCAGCACTCAGCTTTTGTGCATCAGAATAACATCTGCCTCCACCTTTTCCACCCTGACAGATGGGACACAGCTGGTCATGGTCAATGGACATTTCCTTGCCCTTGCTGGTCTTCGGATTGAAATTTCTGAGAAATTTCCAAGGAAGGCTTTTTCAGGAGACCATTTGAAAATAAACGAATTAGGGATATTAAGACTCCTAAGTGAGATGGAAGGATTTCTAGACAGGCTTCCTAGACAGATTTCTAAGCAGCCTTCTCTTTTGAAATGGCTTTTATTCTTAAATTGCTGCACATGTCAGAATGAGACAAAGTATAATAAAACAGTCAGATTTTCCCACTTAAAAGTCATGGCTACCATAATTATGGGAAATTTGAAAAGCCATTGCTTCTTCAAATAAGGGTAAGGCTTTGTTATTATTCACTCTTGTTTGTCCTCTCCTAAATACCATCGGGGCAGGCAAGGAGAGAAGATCTTTGTAGGCTATAGCTCATTTTCACAGTAACAAAAAAGATCCAATAAAACTCTGAGACAGGTTGTAGACATGATCTAGGTGTCCATTCCTTTGGGGAGCTAGTCTGAAGCAAAGCATGATGGAGAAGGGATTATTTTCAATTGTTTTCAGTGCATCCCCCCCCCCCTTTAAGTCTTATTTTCTTCTCTACTCATATTTCTGGTCACAGCTTTCTACGTGCCTGAGGCAGAAGCACTTGGTGCGTACTTATGAGCATTTCTGAGAGCAGGAATTCAATCTCAGCAAGACTGAGCAGAACAGGTTTTATAACTGGAACAGAAAGGAAATACGTTCCTACGTTCTAGGAATAGGCAAAGCTTAGGACTTAGCCAATCACATCCTACCAGAAGAGTAAAGAAAGGGTATGTTCCACGCATGTGTGAAGAAGAAGAAGAAGAAGAAGAAGAAGAAGAAGAAGAAGAAGAAGAAGAAGAAGAAGAAGAAGAAGAAGAAGAAGAAGAAGAAGAAGAAGAAGAAGAAGAAGAAGAGCAGAATGAAGTGACCTCAGAGCAGCCATCCCTTAGGCAAAGAGTAGGCAGAGTGATGGATAAAGAAAGGCACAGATGCTTAATTTATGGCCCTTTATGGTTAGTCATAAGGTGATGAAGTATCAACACCATTGAAACTGTAACACTAATAACATGGTCCATACAGAATTATGAGCAGAGATGTAGACCGTATTGGTAAGGGGTCACCCATACAGTATAAGTGCTTGATCTTGCTACACTAATTCTTTCTTTAAATTTTAATATTGTCCTTTTTCCTATCAGTGACCCAGTTTATACATATAGGAAAATAAGGTAACAGTTAAATCAGGAGTAGATATCCTGAAAACCCCCCAAACCCTCATGTTATCCTCAGACCTTTTCTTAGTGACCCCATGTCCCATCCAGCCATTTTTTGTTAGAAATAATAGCATTTTATCCTGATACTTAAAAAGAAAAAAAAAGACATCGGTCCTAAGGTAAGCTTCCTATACAAGTAATCTTTGATTTATGAGCACAACTGAACTCAACATTTCCATTGCTAAGCAAGACAATTGTTAAATGAGTTTCCCCCCATTTTACGACCTTTCTTGCCATAGTTGTTAAATGAATCACTGCAGTTGTCAAGATAGTAACATGGTTGTTAAGGGAATTTGGCTTCCACATTGACTTTGCTTGTGATCACATGACTCCCAGGCACTGCAACTGACATAAATACAAGCCAGTTGCCAAGAGTCTGAATTTTGATCACATGACCATGGGGATGCTGCAATGGTCCTAAGTGTGAAAAACAGTCACAAGTCACTTTTTTCAGTGCCGTTGTAACTTTGAATAACCACTAAAAGAATGGTTGTAAGGAGAAAAAAACAACAACAGAAAATCTTGGCTTAGTTCACTTTGCAGCATCTATCTTCTGTGGGTCTTGCTTTCCTCCAGATGGGAAATGTGATTGCTTCTATAGCTATCAAAACTTGCCATTTTCAATTGCGGAAGCATCTTGTGGCTATAAAGGTGGGCTACTGGTGAAATAACTATGGCCTTAGCACTGTTTACAGTCAAAAGAACCCCACACTTTGTACTCAAAAAAATAGCACAGGGAGCTCAGTCTATGAAAGAGCAATAAGAGGGATACCTGACATTCCATCAGCATGGAATGGTGCCAACCACATAATTGCCTCAAGATCCTAGGACTTCTCCCAGCCACATGGATAGACAAGGCCTGTGTCAGACTGCAAACTGAGATCATATTGCTCTTATGTTCCCTGCAGGGCCTAGCTGCTTTTAAGGCGAGCATACACATTAACCACTACCAGTAACATCGGAGCTGTGAGCACCAACTTGCTGAAGGAGGCCAAGGTTATGTCTAGCCTAGCCTTCCTTAACCTTTTGCCCTGCAGCTGCATTGGATTACTTTGTCCAGATTCTCAGCCACAGCAGCCAAAGTGGCTGGGAATTCTGAGCGCTGAGTCCAAGACATCTGGATGGCGCCAGATTGGAGAGAGCTATTCTAGTACAAAACACTCTCCCCACCACTGGTTATCCAGATGCTTCAGTTACACTAGAATTGAATCTACTGATTTCACAACACCAGGGAGAGAATCAACTCTTTTTTTTTTTGAAAGCAGCAAGAATAATTCAAGTCCTCACTTCCTCGCATTCTATACAAAGAGAAATAATTTTGTCAAATAATAGGAAAACAAGGTAGTGCCTCTTTGTCTCTTTCCTAATTATTCCTTTTAAATAATGTTTTGTCCCAGACAGTGAATAGTAACTATATTTGTAAATGGATTTTACTAGGATTATTGCAAAACACAGCTTCAAGCTTTGGAAAATTAACATCACCACTCATTTATTTGAACCCTCATCTCTGTAAGCAAACACAGATTTCCATTGGGACAGACTACTGTAGTGGCTTTTTAATAATATGTATTTGATATCCATTAGATGTTTTTGCAAGCCATTCAAACATGTCCTCCTGTTTGTTAAAATCCCTCAAATCATACTATCCACAAAAATGAGATTTTGAAAAATGAATCCCATCAGTTAGGGATGACTTAGTAAGTCCTTAACTTGGAAAGCCTTGCAATGTGTCAAACTAGATCTTCCAGAATTAGAATCAGAAGGCTGCCAAGACTGGGGAA